CAATAGAAAACACATTGTCTACTGTTTCCTTTTCAGCAGATCTGAGTGTTGGGGTAAAATCCCAAATAATAATAATAATCACCAAATAATGGTGAGTCTGGTGTCAAAATATTGAATGTGATCAAAGTAGAGAGAAAGAGTAATGTGGAAATCGTCTGCCCCACAGATAGGGGGAGGGTGTTGGATGGGGGTATACTGGGGTTTTTGGTGGTGGAGAATGGGCACTGATGAAGGTATGGGTGTTTCATTGTATAACCGAGACTTAAACCTGAAAGCTTTGTAACTGCTCTTATGGTGATTCAATAAATAAAATTATAAAAAAAATGAAAAAAAAGTAAGGTGGAGTTCATGCCCAATTCAATCAGCTAATTGATGGCTGAATAAATAGCAGTACTCCTACATTAAAAAAAATCATCAAAATTAAAAAAGAAAGAAAGAAAGAAAACGGACGTGATTTTTGGTTCCAGTTGCCAGCATGAGAAATGTCTGGGTCTCAGAGACGGATAGATAATCCAGTGGTTAGTGAGTTTCACTTGCCAAGTGCTAACCAAGGTTCCATGACCGGGATCCCATATTGTCCCTGAGCACAGCCAGGAGTAAGTCCTGAATATAGACAGGTGTGACCTCAATTTCTTCATCTGCCCCACCCCCTAAAATAAAGAAAAAAGAAAGAAAGTGGCCTTTTCTCTTGAACCAGCACCAATTTCCTCCTCAGGCTATTGGCGGGTCCCTTGGGGTGAGCTGTGGTGCAGCCACAGAACTGAGGAGAAAGCTGTGGGCAGAGGGGGAGGGTGTTTGGGGGATGAGTGAAAATTTCCTCCCACAGTTTGTAAGCTTTAGTCAGACATCTACTTCCTGCAGCAGCATTTGTCCTTGGGTTTCTGCACAGAGGAAATCATGGAGCAGGATGTTAGAAACCCGAGGACAGAGGAGTCCTCCGGCCATCCTGCTCCAGTCCACTAGAACCCCTGGCATGGCCAGGCCCCCACCCTGCTGGGCCTGACTCTGCTGCTGCCTCTGCTCTTACTGCCCTGGGCGCCCACCAGAGACTGTAAGTGACCCCTTCTGCACTCAGACCCCAGGCTCCCATAGGCTCCCAGCACTGCACAGTGCTCGCCCCACCCCTGCATCCCCACAGGCAGGATCAATGGCCCCTCAGGGCCCCTGCGGCTGTCAGGGAATCAGCAATTCCAGTCACAGGCTCAGTCACTTTGCAGAAGGGGCACAGCACCCCATTCCACTCTGCACCCAGAATCCGGCTCTGAGGTGCCCACTTGCAAGAATTCACCCAGCTGTGACCCCTCACAGTGCCCCTCACGCCAATGTTCCAGGGACCAGGGTGACTGCTCCCAAGTTAGCCTCAGCTCAAAAAAGGGTCAGCCATTGACTCTGTGGAAAGACTCCTCAGTTTCCCTATAAATGCTGGAGAGTGGAGGGGATGGACTGTCCATGAGTGAAAGGCCATCAGCCCATGTTCTCAGGGCCTGTTACTGGGGCTCAGGGTCCAGCCTGGGTTCCAAGGTGTCTGAGTAGTGTCTGGGAACCAGGTGTTCTAAAGGCCAGGGCATTCAAGACACTCAGAGCACCTTTTGCAGTTTGAAGGGAATTCAGAGTTTCTCCCAGGGAAGTTCCCACATGGGGTGTTTCTGGGTCCATCTGGCAAAGGGTCTTGTGTTTTTCCTCCCCTCTCCCCCCTCACACACTTTAGACACCGTCCTGGTTTACAAAGTTGCATATAATGAATTGTTACAGGCATTCAATATTCCAACACAACTCCACCACCTCTCTCACCTTCCCTCCAACATTGTGTCCATTTTTGCACCAGTCAATACTGCCCCCATAGCAAGTCCTCAGTAATATCTTTTAGATTGTGTGTTACCAATTAAGGGCTAACAGAATGACCAAAAACTATTTCCTAATAAGAAAATTAGTGAAAATTTTTGTACCTCATCACGCAGATATTAAGTCCTTGTCTGAGGGATTATTATGATTCTGTTACAATTTCGGCTCCAATCTTAATTGTTTTGTTATCCAGATTAGTTGGCTTCTACTTTACATCTCATCCAATCTGGTGAGCTGCTACTGGATTGTCAGGGTTCCCGTGTTTGGATAGTACGGCAGAGGAGCTTGTTTGTGGGCAAGATTGCAGGGGTTTCAGGAAGTACTGGGAGGTTGGGGGAGGTAGCCCTCCCCAGTTCCATAAGGCTGGAGACTTTCAGACAAAGGGACCCATGTACCGGAGGTTTTGCAGAATTAAGTTCACGGTGAGGCTCAGTAGTCCTAAGGTGATGGGTACGGGAGAGAGAAGCTGCTGGGATATTACTTGGATGTGCAGTGGCCTGACCCCTCCGAGTGTTATAGGTGGAGGGAGCAAGGCGTACATGGCAAAGTTTAAGTCAGCAATTGTTTATTAACTGATCAGTGACTGTTGTCTCTGCCCAGTATTTGAACAAGAGAGCAGCCCCCCAAGTGTCTTCCAGACACATAAATGGACCCATGTCTCTTCTCATTCTTATGCTAAGTTAGCAGGTAAACTATATACAGAAATCAAAGATAAGCAATTAGCAAAACAATCTATAGATTACAAAATAGGACTATTAGTAAGACAGTAAAAGCAATTCACTGATTAACATAGAAATCACCCCAAATAAAAAAAACTAAAGATAGCTGAACAATAGTAAAATAAACTCAAAACAGAATCACATGATAGTTAAACATCTGATTGATTCTGGGGCTAAAAAATAAGCAGTAGGCCACCCTCTTTATTGATCCCCCCAAGTCCTGCGCTTGCTTTTATGCCAAGTGAGCATACATCCTGCCTCTCTACCAGATGATCACATATCCTGCTTTCCACCCAAGTCCCTTTGCACACATCCTGTTTTTCTGCCATGTAAACACGCATCATCTTACCTGTCAAAGGGGCTCACATTCCGGATGCCAGGGTCAAAGACAGTGTGCCGCTTTCTCAAGGAAGTAAGGTCAGTTGGTCTCCCACACAGGGAGGGCCATCCACCGTGTCTCAGCAAGGAAAGGGTCTGAAAAGTTTTCAGAGCTAGTTGATCCCTTTAGTGATATATTTATGTGTCTCTGGAAAAAGGCTGGTAAAGATAAGCCTATGTGTTGATGGACATGGTTTGTGGGAGCAGCCCAAGTTTTGAGTTATTTGTCTGTGCTGGGTTGCCCTATTTTAGCTTTAGAGAAACATCCCTGTTTCCCAGAGGAGAAAAAGAAAGTGAAACCAGCTTTCTCTGTTCCCACCAAGCTGTTCCAAGCCTGTGTTGGGCTCCTCTTACACTCGGGCCCCCAACAGCACAGGGGAAGGTGAGCACTCTGCCCTGTTGGTATGCATGTCACCAGAATCCACAGGTGATGGTGTGAGAGACACACTCCCCAGTCCCAGAAGTCAGAGAAACAGCAAAAGTGAGGTGCAGTGAAGGTGAAGCATGTCCTGGCCTCTGGAAAGAACAGGTGTGGGCTGGAGGGATCTTGGCTCAGGGAGCTGCTGGGAGACTAAGGGCTGAGATGGGGGAAGCCCTGGAACAGTTATGACTGGGAGCACTCGAGAGTGCTCGCTGTCCTCATCCCTTTTCACTACCTAGGAAAGAACCAGAGAGGCCCAGGATCCAGTCTGCTGCCTCCCAGCAGAGCTCTCTTTCTCCTTCTCTTTTTCTTTCTTTCTTATTTTATGTTTCTGGTTTTGGGCCATACTGTTGTGAGGTGAGAGAGTAGCCAAGAAGTCTGGAGCACACAGGCTATTCCCAGGTTGTTCTCAAAATTCCCTGCCCCTGGGTCCTTGCATCCCTGCAGTGTCCCATCCTGTTTCTTGGTTCTTCTTTTGAGCAACTCGTGTTTTTTCTGCTAACTCTGGGTCATCTATTCACAATAACTGGTGGAACTCAGGGTTTACTTCTGGCTCTGTACTCAGGAATTTCTCCTGAAAGTGCTCAGGGGACCAAATGGGAAGCTGGGAGTTGAATCAGGGTCAGCCAGCTGCAAGGGAAATGCCCTAGTCCCACTGTACTAGTGCTTTGGTCTCTGGAATTCTTGTTTTTTTGTTTTTGAGCAACACCCTGCAATACTCATGGGTTACTACTGGCTCTACACTCAGGAATTACTCCTGGCAGTCCCCAGGGAGCCATTTGGAATGATGTGGATCAAAATTGGATCAACCAGAACCACAACACCCAAAAGGAGTGAGAGAATAAAAGGGAATGCCCTGCCACAGAGGCAGGGTAGGATGGGGGGGATAAGGGTGGGAGGGATACTGGGACCTGTTGTGGTAGAAAATGGGCACTGGTGGAGGGATGGGTACCAGATCATTGTATAACTGAAACCCAAGCACAAAAATTTGTAAGTCTACAACTGTACCTCATGATGTTTCACTAATAAAAATTAAAAAAAAAATGGACCAACCAGGTACAAGGCAAGTGGCCTATCTGCTGTACTGTCTATCTCTGCATCAACACATCTTTTTCTTTCTTTCTTTCTTTCTTTCTTTCTTTCTTTCTTTCTTTCTCTCTCTCTTTCTTTCTCTCTCTCTCTCTCTCTTTCTTTCTTTCTTTTTTTCTTTCTTTCTTGCAATATCCAGCAATTCTCAAGGGTTCCTCCTGGTTGGCTCTCTACTCAGAGATCACTCTTGGTGAGCTCAGGGGACCATATGGGATGCTGGGAATTGAACCTGGGTCAGTCAAGCATCAATGCAAGCACCCAACCCTCTGGATTAGTTCTGGTCCCCCATTTGGAACTTTTTTACTGCAATTATTTTTTCAAAATTTAAAATGTATGAAACTTGGTTATATAAAATCTGGTCATAGACCAGAGCAGCACATGCACCCACAGTACACAAATGTGGGTCTCCTCATTCACCCTCCCCCAACTCAACCCTCAACCCCACACTCTCCATCCTGTTGACTTCCCCAGGCTCTCCCCATCATAACCTGGGACCTGGTATCTGCAACTCCTCAGCTTGACCCCTCTCTCCTTCCGTATTTCCCCCATAGGGGCCAGGAAAGTGGTCGTGCGGGCCCCAACCAAGGTGAATGGCTCCTTGGGCAGCACTGTGACCCTGCCATGTCACTTACTTCTGGAGTCAGAAATCCCACGGGTGACTGAGATCAGGTGGAAGCGGCTGGCCCCTCTGGGGGACCCCAGCATTGTGGCCGAGTTTTACTGGGAGTGGGGCCCCATCATCCTGGAGCCCGACCGTCTGGAGTTCAAGGCCGCCAGGTTGGGTGCGGACCTACTAGACGCCTCGCTGACCATTCGTGAGCTGAGCCCTGGGGACGAAGCCAACTACACCTGCGAGGTCCACATCAGCACGTCCCAGATGGGAAGTGCGCTTACCTGGCTCCGTGTATTCTGTGAGTGTGAGGGTAGGGCTCCCAGTAGCTGCATGACAGTGGGCGGGACTTCTTGGAGGGGCGGGACTAGCGGGTAGGTAGGGGAGGGAAGGACTCAGAGAGGGAAGGGGCAGGATGAGACCCAAGGAGGTAAAACAACAATGGTGGGGCTGGAGATGCACATAGGTCCTTGTTGTGGGTCGGAGAGAGTAGATTATTTGGTTCTTGCAGAAGATCTTGGTGACTTTTGTGGGTGGTGGTGGGGGAGGGGGACATTTGTTGGTTTGGTTTTTGCCTGGGCCAGGGCAGTTATTCGGAGCCAGGTTGGGGACCTGGAGTAACTTTTCCCAGTGGGCTCTGAGTTTATCCAGGACAAAGGCTGAGAGCTGAGATGCACATGCTCAGTTCCTGCCTCAAAAATAGTGACAGCAGCACTGTTATGACCCTACCACCTACACCAGCACACCCACCCTCATTGTCTACACGTAGGCCACCAACACCACACCAACCCTCCTTGTCTACACCTGGGCACCAACAACCCTATTACATCAAGACTTTTCTGTACGTGGGTTACCACCACCACTGTCCTTTGCTGCCTCCTCCAACTTTTTTTTTTAATAAACCCACCGTGAGATACAGTTGCAAAGCTTTAATGTTTGAGTTTCAATTATACAATGATCCCCTGCAGCACCCTACATGCAGGCACTGGCAGGAGGGAGCAGAGCACAAATTCCCAAGCATGTGATGCTACAGAACAGGGTATGGGCCCCAGGTTCACGAGCGCATTTGACATCTGTCGCCAGGTCACTAAAGTGAGAACGAGACCCTGACCCTTTTCAAGACATCCCGAATGACTCAGGATCATGTCATGTCGCCCAGAGTCAGCTGCCCCTCATGTTGCCTGTGTGAAATGTGGCAGGGGCTCTTCTCTTCAAGTGTTGGCCCCTCAGGCTGAGCAGTAATAGAAGGGTGTCCTTGTGTCTGTCCCTGTCCCCCAGCAGACTCCCCCCAGGTCTCCATCGCCCTTTATGATGACATCGGGCAGCAGGGCCGCAGGGAAACCAGGCTGACCTGTGATGCCCACAGCAACCCAGAGCCCAAGAGTTATGACTGGAGCACGTGAGTCCTGGGGTTGATCCGGGTCTGAGAAGGGAGGCTGGGGATGGACAATCATGTCTGAGCAGGGAGTCTAGGCATGAACTCCCAACCATTGGGGACAGGGTCTGGGTGCCCAAACTCTAAGGTGAAGGAAAAGAGAGGCTTACCTGGACTCCTATACCTGAGGAAAGAGGTGCTGGGAGCCAGGGTTTAGGGCGGAGGCTGGGATGCACTCCTGGTCTGAGGGAGGAGGCTGAGCATGGAATCCTGGGTCTGAGGGAGGAGATGGGTATTCAATTATAGCTCTGAGGGAGAAGGAACTTGGGATGACTAGTGGTTCCTAGGGAAAAGGCTGGGGTTGGACTCCTGGGTCTGAGGGAGGAGGTATATGATGGATACGTGGATCTAAGGGAGGAAGGATTTCAAGACAGACTTATTAGGGAGAGGGAGGAAGGAGTAAGGCATGAACTCCTTGGTCTGTTTTGGGTATTTTTGTTTGTTTCAGAGGCCCAAACGCAGCAGTGCTAGGGCTTATTCATGGCTGTGCAATCCAGGATTACTCCTGGTGGGTCTCTGGGAATTGTATGGGGTCTTAGGGGTCAAATATAGGTTGGTCACATGCCCTACCTGCTATCTCTGTGGCCCTGAACTCTTGGGTTTGAGAGGGGAGGCTAGAAAATAAACTACTGGGTCTGAGGGAGGAGGCTGGGGATGACTTCTGGTCTGCAAGGAAGGGAAGGCAGAGGGATCCAGAGAGAGAGAGAGTGAAAGAGAGAGAGAGAGAGAGAGAGAGAGAGAGTCACCTCTGACCCCTATTAGACTGACTTGACTGTGGGCAGAGTCAAAGAAATAGCTAAGAGGACGAAGAACCTCCGGCTCTGGGCACATATCTTCGATTCCACTGTTCTTCCTGCATTAACATATGCCTCAGAGACCTAGGTACTATGAAAACAGGATAAGAACACTATTCGGGTCTCCCGAAGAGTAATAAAAAGTGCTATGCCTGTAGTATCACGCTTCACTCGAATGAGAGAAAGAATCCGGAGTTCCGACCTCCGTCGAAGGTCAAGAATCAGGGACGCTGTCTCGTTTGCCAAGGCATCAAAAATCAAATTTGCTGGACATGTAATGAGATTTGGAGAAGACTGCTGGACTAGAGCCGTTACCAACTGGATTCCACTGGTCGTCAAAAGAACAAAACTCAGCAGAGGAGTGTCTGGAGCTCTGTTTCAGCAAGTTCTCTCAGGCCACCAGGTGTATGTTGGGGGGAGCAGGAGCCAGGGGACAGGGGTCAGAATGGGGGTCACACAGGCCCTGAGGACTAGAAGGTTCTGGATGGATTCTGAAGGTGGGTCCCAGGACCTGCTGAGCAGTAATAGGGGTGTGAGAGGGAGAGTCGGGGGGAATCCAGGTACCTGCCAACTTGGGTCATACAGGGCGAGGTGCTAGAGTTCCTCAGTCCCTGTCACTCTGGGCTCCAACAGAGGCCGTGTTCTCACCCCCAGGACCACAGGCCCTCTGCCACCCTCTGCTGTACCCCAGGGCTCCTGGCTCCTGATTCACCCCACTGAGGAGTCCATCAACACGACCTTCATCTGCCGCGTCTCCAATGACCTGGGGATAGGCCAGGCAGCCATGAGAGTCCTGATCCCAGGTAAGGACCAGTGGAGAGCACAGAGACACCCAGGAGGTGCAGAGCAGGACTGTCTCTGTTGGTAGAGTCCCTGGGGAAGTACCCCTCAGCCATGAGATGCTCCCAGACTCCACCCGAGGCCTCTGCCTGGACTCTCAGAAAGGCCTTTCCAGGGGCTGAACCCAAGCTCTCGCCATTGCAGCTGCTAAAAATGCCCCAGTAAGGCGAGAAGAAGGCCGTCAGATTTGATTAGATCTGGGAGCCCCAAGTGTGGTGTAAAGCAGGAACTTTCCTTATTTTGGTTCTGGCTCTATTCTCAGCCGAGTCTGCCCTCAGTAATCAGGGGCACATGGGCATTCCAGGTGCCCATCCCACTGCTAGTGTGGCTAGGGAGAATGCAACATTTTTTTCTTGTTTTGTTTTTCTTTTTTGGGGGGAGGGTTGTCACACTCGGGGTTGCTCAAGGTTTATCTCGGCACTGTGCTCAAGGATGGCACCTAATAGTATTTTGGGGATAGTATAAGGTGGTGAGGATGGTGTGAGGCTGAAGAGGAGCCATGACAGGCTCTGCTTTAAGAACAAAACTCATGGGGCTGGAGTGATAGCACAGCGGGTAGGGCATTTGCCTTGCACACAGCCAACATGGCCAACACAGGTTCGATTCCCAGCATCCCATTTGGTCCCCTGAGCACAGCCAGGAGTGATTCCTGAGTGCATGAGCCAGGAGTAACCCCTGAGCATCGCCGGGTGTGACCCAAAAAGAAAAAAAAAAGAACAATAGTCCTGACTTCTGAGGAAACAATATCAACTTGGGCAGATAAACAGCCCCGTGGCAACAGCCTATCAGAGTAGGGGGTATGGGCAGTGGTGCCCAGCCAAGTAGAGAGGGCCTAAGGAGTGGGGTCACGGGACTGGACAGGGACCAGGATTGAAAATGTACTGCCAATTCCTAGAAAAATGCTGTTATGTAACCAAATCCTATATAAACTGTTCTTCCTAATCTTCTTCCTAATCATCACCGTGGGGATTGTCAGACTTTCCATGGGGCAGGTTGCCCTGGAAGGAGCAGCTAAGTGAAGGTCATCTCGGGAAGAGGTGGTTGGGTGACGGTCACCTTGGGGTGAGGCTGCTGGGGAAGATCGTCTCAGGGAGAGGCGGCTGAAGGGTGGTTTGTCAGACTGACCGTCTCAGTGTCTGACAGGAGGGTCAGAGGAAGGGCCCAAGTACAGAGGACCTGCATAGGAAGAAGTCGCCAGTTGGGCAGTGTGGGAGACACCCCCAGTGCCCCCCCCCCATAAACCCCAGAACGGTGGACGCCATTCAGTAAGCTTGCTCACAGAGGGACCGCCTGAGAAGTGGGGTTAGGTACAGTGCACTGAGGACTAGTGGCTGATATTTGTCTATCTTCTTCGTGGCATATTTGAGTACCTGCGTGTGTCTTGAGTCTGTGTCTTTGTTCTGTTTTCAGACCATTAATCACTCACTTTCTCCCTAGGAACATGACCAGGGACAGACAACACCTCAGTCTCTTTTTTTTTTTTTTTTTTTTGCTTTTTGGGTCACACCCGGTGATGCACAGGAATTACCCCTGGTTGGAGCGATAGCACAGCGGGTAGGGCATCTGCCTTGCACGCGGCCAACATGGCCGACCCGATTTCGATTCCTCCGCCCCTCTCGGAGAGCCCGGCACGCTACCAAGAGTATCTCGCCCGCAGGGCAGAGCCTGGTGAGCTCCCTGTGACGTATTCGATATGCCAGACACAGTAACAACAAAGTCTCCAATGGAGACGTTACTGGGCCCGCTCGAACAAATCGATGATCAACGGGAGAGCCTTTACTTTACTTTTACTTTACCATGCACTCAGGAATTACTCCTGGCAGTGCTCAGGGGACCATATGGAATGCTGGGAATCGAATCTAGGAAGGCTGCGTGCAAGGCAAACAAACACCCTACCGGGTGTGCTATTGCTCCAGCCCCACCCCAGTCTCTTTTTACCGATCATTTCTCGGATTTTAAAAGCAGAGCTCGTAATCTGCCCTTGGAGGTTAAAAAGAGTAAACTTAAAACTTTTTGTTCTGCAGAATTGTCTTGTTATGCAGCCTTCAACATTGGCTGACCCACTTAAGGTACCTTTGAGCTGGGGACCGTTCTAAAAAACTAAAGGTAGAAGTTTCTTTGCAGTACCAGGAGGAAACCAGGACCAGATCCCTTACATCCTGGTCTGGAAGGAACTGGTTGAGAGACCCCTGCCTGGTTAAAAACAAGCGTGTTGCAAAACAGTGAGGAAAT